GGATTGGGGGTTTGAAGAAAAACAAACCCGAAGTTTTGTTCCTCAGCAAAATGTTCACTTCTTTTTCGCGAGGTTTCATTCGATTTGTTGTGGATTGGATGATGGAAAAACCAGCAAACTATGGCTTCAAAGCTTACCTTATTTAGAAAAGGATAAAGGGCTTTTTTATAGATGTTGAGGTTGAGTACAAGATCGAAGGATGCTTTCAGAGGCGAAAGGCCATGGGGAGATACCATCTGTGATCCGCGGATCTCCGATCGGGAAACCGTATCCAAGCGTAGTGGCTAGTCTGCACTCTTTGGACTTTTCAAACTTAGCGAACTGAAACATCTTAGTAGCTAAAGGAAGGGAAATCAACCGAGAACCCGTTAGTAGCGGCGAGCGAGAGTGGATTGGGGGTTTGATGAAAAACAAACCTGAAGCTTTGTTCCTCAGCAAAGTGTTCACTTCTTTTTCGCGAGGTTTCATTCGATTTGTTGTGGATTGGATGATGGAATAACCAGCAAGCTACGGCTTCAAATCTTACCTTATTTAGAAAAGGAGAAAGGGCTTTTTTATAGATGTTGAGGTTGAGTAAGGAGGCGGAGCTTGAAAAGTGAAGTGAGCCGCGCTAGCCTAGCAACGTTTTTCAGCAGCAAGCTACGGTCTAACGACCCCCTAACCTAGTTTGGGGCGAAAACTCCATAATCCAAAATGTTGGTTAGGGTTCCAAACCTTTCTCTAATAATAAGGTAAGCTTTCAAGCCACCGTCCTTTAAAGGATCGGGCGCAGTGAACTATAATTGTGAAAAGATTGGAAGATCTGGCTAGAGAAGGTGATAGCCAAGTAGATTAGTTCCCATGGTTCGATCCTTCCCAATAAAACGCGGCGTGTTCAAATTCTGATTGCTTTTACATGACAAATGGGGGGCACCCTCTAGGCCTAAGTATTCCTCAATGATCGATAGCGTACAAGTACCGTGAGGGAAAGGGAAAAAGAACCCTATTTAGGGAGTGGAATAGAGAACCTGAGATACGATGCAAAAAAACAGTCGAAGGAGCGAAGCTTATAACCTTTACTTTATGTAAAGCACACTCACTCTAATGGCATACCTTTTGCATGATGGGTCAGTAAGGAAATGGGAACAGCGGCTTATGCCATTGGGTGTAGGCGCTTTCCTGAGGTGGAATCTTCTAGTTCTTCCTATTTGACCCGAAACCGATCGATCTAGCCATGAGAAGGTTGAAGAGAGCTCTAACAGGCCTTGGAGGACCGAACCCACGTATGTGGCAAAATACGGGGATCACTTATGGCTAGGGGTGAAAGGCAAACCATGATCGGATATAGCTGGTTTTTCGCGAAGTCTATTTCAGTAGAGCGTATGATGTCGATGGCCCGAGGTAGAGCACTCAATGGGCTAGGGTGGCCTCATTTCGCCTTACCAACCCCAGGGAAACTCCAAATACAGGCCTAGATCATTTGTACAGTCAGACTTTTTGGGTGCTAATATCGAAAGTCGAGAGGGAAATAGCCCAGATCCTACGCTAAGGTCCTTTAGCAATCAGTTAGTGGAAGAGGAAGTGATCGAGCGATGACAACCAGGAGGTGGGCTTGGAAGCAGCCATCCTTTGAAGAAAGCGTAATAGCTCACTGGTCTAGCTCTATGGCACTAAAAATGTATTAGGTCTCAAGTGATTCACCGAAGCGACGAGACCTTTAAAGTTGATTTTTAAAGTGTCAATAGCGGAACGTTCTATCAATCGGGGAAGGTTTTTGGTGACAAGACCTGCAGATATCAGAAGTGAGAATGCTGACAAGAGTAACAAAAAATCCCATGAAAAACACAAATGCCTACCAGTGGAAGGTTTTCTGCGTTCGGTCAATATACGCAGAGTGAATCGGTCCCTAAGGAACCCCCGAACGGGCTGCAGTCCGATGGGTACACGAAAGTGATGAAGTTGCTTTGACTACAGAACCATGCATGTCTGTTGGAGCGAATTGGATGGTCGGGCTGAGTGCTGCCCCCTCTTCCCCTCACTCTCATTTCCCTAATATGAACCTCGAGTCATCAAAGCCTTTCTGACTTGGCCTGGACTGGTCGCCCTACGTGACTGGCGCTTCAGAAGGCCAAACTCTCGGTCGTAGTTTGGCGACCTATCTTCACTATGCGCCTTTAGTCTTTTGATTAGAGTAGGGATCGCGAGAGAGCAGAGCATACCGCCCTGCCATAGTCACGAGTCTGTTTATAGTCGTGATTGTTGTCATAGTCAACAAGGTTAAAACTTCCAGAAAACAACTTCGAATTAGGAGGGCGATCCTCCCGGTGAACTGACCGTACCCCAAACTGACACAGGTGAACAAGTAGAGTATACTAGGGCGCTTAAGAGAACCGTGTCGAAGGAACTCAGAAAAATTACTCCGTAACTTTCGGAGAAGGGGTGCTCTCCTATCATTTGATTAGGAAAGAGGCACATACCAGGGGTAGTGACTGTTTATTAAAAACACAGGACTCTGCTAAGTGGTAACACGATGTATAGAGTTTGACACCTGCCCGGTGCTGGAAGGTCGGGAGGAGAAGTGTTATAAGCTTTGAATGGAAACCCCGGTAAACGACATCAGTAACTCTAACTATCCTAAGGTAGCAAAATTCCTCGTCACATAAATAGCGACCTGCACGAATGGTGTAACAACTGCCCCACTGTCTCCGACATGAACACGGTGAAATTAAATTCTCCGTGAAGATGCAAAGTACCAACGGCTAGACGGTAAGACCCCGTGCACCTTAACTATGGCTTCACAGTGACACCCTAATCGAATGTGTAGGATAGGTGGGAGGTGGTGACACACAACGACCAATCGTGAAATACCACTCTTTCATCTAAGGATGCCTAACCGCTGCACCGATCCTTTTGGGGGGAGGCAGGACACTACGAGGTGGGTAGTTTATCTGGGTTACATGCCTCCTAAAGAGTAACAGAGGTGTGCGAAGGTAGGCTCAAGCTAAGATTCTGCTCGTGAGCGTGATGGTATAAGCTTTCCTGACTGTGAGACCGACTGGTCGAACAAAGACAAAAGTCAGCCATAGTGATCCTGGAGTCCCGTGTGGAAGGACCCTCGCACAATGGATCAAAGGTACGCTGGGGATAACAAGCTGATGACTCCCAAGAGCTCTTATGAATGGAGTCATTTGGCACCACGATGTCGACTCATTACATCCTGGGGTTGAAGAAGGTCCCAAGGGTTTGGTTGTTCACCGATTGAAGTGGTACGTGAGTTGGGTTTAGAACGTCATGAGACAGTTCAGTTCCTATCTACTATTGGTGTTAAAGGGAGAACTGCGGGGAGCCAACCATAGTACGAGAGGAATGGGTTTTGCTAACATATGGTGTACCGATTGTTATGCCAGTAGCGGCGCCGGGCAGCTAAGTCGGTATGGAAGAACTATTGTGCCGCGGTAAATCCTTCTCTATACAAGTTCTCATACAAGGTTTTTGAATAGAACATCGATAGGCGAGAGGTGTATGCACCGCGAGGTGTGAAGCAATCTCGTAGTAAACGAAACGACTTTCACTTTCCATAACAAAAATGAAAGAAAGTCAACCTATTCCTGAAATTGCGGTCAGTCTCGCTACCACTTTAGTTGTTGCCCCCTACTTTCTCACTCACAATTACTACCAAAAGAAAGTTGCCCCTGAATCTAACGGGGCTTATGCACTCCACGGCTTTCTTATGTTATGGGGTCTTGAAGACTGAATTTAGCTGCCAATCCTAGTCAGCAAGCTGAAAAACTTTCTCAAGAACATGGAGAGTAGGGACTCTTTAACCTTGCAAAATATAGATGAAGAAATGAAAAAATGGGGCGGGGGGGGCATCGTGGTCTATGCTGAATGTTTTTTTTTTAGATAGAATGAATGGAAAAGGGATGTTTGTGTTGTGGTTTTCGTAGTTGCAAGAATTTGTTTTTCGAGAAAAGGTCCCCTCCTTCAATATCATGATTGGGTCGACCAGGCTAGATCATGAGTGAATAAAACAAAATGTACATAGTTGTTCCAGCTTAAATACTTGGAATAATTCTACCACTTCTACTAGGACTAGCCTTTTTAGTGCTAATTGAACGTAAAGTAATGGTTTTTGTGCAACGTCGAAAGAGTCCTGATGTAGTGGGATCGTTTGGATTGTTACAACCTCTATCAGATGGTTTGAAATTGATTCTAAAAGAACCTATTTCACCAAGTAGCGGTAATTTTTCCCTTTTTAGAATGGCTGCAGTGGCTACATTTATGTTAAGTCTGGTCGCTCGGGCCATTGTACCTTTTGATTATGGTATGGTATTGTCAGATCCGAACATAGGGCTACTTTATTTGTTTTCCATATCTTCGCTAGGTGTTAATGATTTATTATAGCAAGTTGGTCTAGTAATTAGGGGGGGCAGCCGTTCGGTCACCTATGATACTAGGACCAATAGGTTCAAAATGGGTTTGTGCCGCATGTGTTGAACGATCTACTCTACACAGGTGTGGGCTTACAGGGCTAGGGCTCATAAACCCTTTCTTTGATTTATCAATAGGGCCTTGCTCTGATCGGTCACTCTTCAAGGTCGGGATTGATAAGTGGAAGTCATAAAAAATAAATCTTTCTCTTCTCACCTCAGATCAAGAGGAAGGGTTGCTTGTCAAGCTGGCATATATATAATAATAATAAATTTCTTTCTATTTTATATTATTATATAATTATAAGAATAATGGAAAGATTCACTTTTTTTTAACCAGTTCCTTCTTCTTTGTCGACGCTACTAAGGACCTATAGGTTTGCCTACTTTACTAATTAATGATAATGAGAATGGGTTATTCAAACAAAAATTAAAAGGCCCTAATTATTTGACTGACAATGACAGAGGCTTGCAAAACTAAGTAGGGCCTAAGGATCCCTGCGAATCCATAAATCTGAGGAGTATGCCGCAACAAAAGGATGGTCCCCTATGCATTTCATTTTTTCCTTAAGGGGAAAAAATGTTTCCCCATCATAGTGAACCTCTCCTTGTGATCGGGATGAGGTAGATGCCTCCCAGCCGGGGGGCGGATCGAATCGAAGTTTCCTTAGATAGCCACCAACCTACAGTTATCCTTAAACTTCCGTGATTGGTGGAGAAGAAAGTATGCTCGCTTGCTGTCTTGTTCTCTTTCACAAACTGGGATCGCTCGCCAGCTGGGTCAGATTTACACAAGAGTTTATGAGAACATACTCCCCATATTCGAGGACAAGTGGCGGAATGACCTCTCAATCTACTTACTACAACACAGGAAGAAAAACGTCTTTTAGGCGTTCCCTGTTGCTCCGATCTCCCCTATGCCTAGGACGTTATCTGGGCCAAGAACCATAGTTAGTTGTTGTTTCCATTTGGTTGTTTCTTCCTCGTTTTTGATACCAGCAAGACCCAGCCAGATGATGTCTGCTGGTTGGTAGTGAGAGGACTCTTAGTACCTTCATACCCAAAAAAGGGTGCTGGTTAAAAAATAATCATTTGATTTTCTTTCTTGCTCTCCCTTAGCAGCGGGAACGGAGTCTATCTATCTGCATTGCTTTGGTAGATTTCCCCCAACCCAATCCATAGAAATTCCACAAATCCCTTGGTGGATAAGTCTGATGACTCAGAAACAGTGCGGAATTGAGTTTTTTTGTCTAGTGGATCTGATCTATAGTTAGAGGGCAATACATACCAAAAGGTTCAAAGAAGGAATGCGCATAAGAGTATATAACCAACCTACCCTTCAGTATAACCTATTCACATTAGTGAAGCGGTTGGATGCATAAAGGAAGTACACGTTTGTGAGACCTTAGTAGGGATGCATAGGTGAGTCAACCTACTAGCACGGAAGAGCATGGTACCGCTACCCCTCTCTAAGTAAAGGTAAGATTATTATCCCTGTAGATGACTCCATCTAAAATAAAATAGGGACAGCCATTTTCGGCTGCTCGTTCCGTATCTTGAAGAAAGCGTACGCTTAAGTAATGTAATAGGGGTCAGGTCAATAATAGCTATGCTATTGCCCTACTGATTTAAGGCCTCCGTCCGATACCGAATGCACATTTTTTCGGGTTCATCTTCAATTGATATTTGCTTAACCTTTCAAAGACCTTGCATAAATTTTTTATGTGGTCAGTTCTTTCTTTTGAAATGACTACCAAATCGTCCACGTAAGGCTCGCATATGTTATGTAGGAGGTCACTGATAATTTGTGTCATCGCTCATTGATATGTTGCGCTTTCTTTTTCATTTTTTTGGGCATATCGTAGTAAGGAAAGGAAGTGAGGGCACTCATTCGAATCGAATAGGTGAAACTACTATAACTAATATTTTTCTGCTTTAAGAGAAACCTTCTAGCTCATTTTAAAGCGTTGAAGAGAGAGATAGGACATTCTCAAGATAGTTGTTGAGGAAGCATCTGATTTCTAACTACGAGTCGGTTTTCAAGATAACTGAATGCCTATCTACTGCTAGTTCTATTCTACTATATCCTCTTACTGCTCTCGTTGTAGGTGTGACAGTCTGAGTACACGGTGCTCTCTTCCCTGTTGTTTTTGGGGTTCATAACCGGGGCTATTGAATCTGCAGTTAAGGGAATATCACCAGTTCTTGGAATAAGAGCTCTGGGACTTCATGGCATTGAGGGAGGTTTAGCCCAGCCCTAAGCCTTTTTGGAATAGAATGCTTCTTTGACAGAGATTCAAGCAAGAATGAGGAAGGCCCTCTTTTCGCCAATGGATCACTTAGTCGGAATAAGCGGGCTTAGGTTGATGCGGAATAAGCCATTTTTCCTCTGTTTCCATGGAAATGTGTCGAAGGAATAGGCACATTTAGAACTGTGGGACTTGAAGGAATAGAATGCCCCGTTAGAATGGGCAGGGACAGTCAATCATTGGCTTAATTTCCTGGGGGACTGATGTATAAAATATTCCAGGGATTTCATCATGAAAGTGTCACATTTAGATTGTTCTTATTAACGGATAGAGCCGAATAGAAAAAGGGTTTACATGAACGCTCGCTTTGGACAAGATGCCATAGTATAAGAAGAAGGCCTTTGTTTGCAAAGATGACTTTCTCGCTTTCTTTTGTGAGGGAGGTTTGTGAACATGAATTAATAGTCAAAGTATAAGGAAGATGGCATAGAGCATGGAATGAGATTGATGTTTCCAATCCTCGAAGTTTCAGTGGTTGTGATCGAAGGAGCTGTGGCACTTTTGGAAGGGGGAATCAGACTAGGCTGTCACTGTTCTAGAAGAGGAAGCGTAGCTGGCACGTTGAACCATGTCTATCAACGGTGAAAGATAGCCCTAAAGTGAGGGCCCTAGAGATAGTATTTCTCAACTATCGATCGACGTGACAATCATGCCTGCTTGACAAAGACTTTTTCATTCAGTCTCCCAATAAACGGAAAAGGATTTCTGGTGACACAAAAGTTGTGCTCGACGCTCTCTTTCCTATTCCACTGCGCTAAGTGGTCTTCCCTTTCTTATTGGATGACTACTATGGAAAATGATGACGACTACACCCAGTCTTTGGTCAATCCATGTTGATGCTAGAAGAGTTATTCCTGCCACTCTCCCATATGAGACGAGGAAGACTAACTGCCATCCTGCTCCAACCTTTGCTGCCTGAGTTATATAGCTGACTGCGAGAAGGACGGTTCATTCTATGGCTGCCCCATGTGATGCTCATTTGAAACCTTTATCCGGTCAATGCTAGAAAGAGAGAAGTGATGTAAACATAAGAATGGAAGGTTTGCTTGTAAGCTGTCGGGCCAATGAGGCTCTTCTAGGTTTACCTATACGGCAAGGGAAAGATCAAAGGCGAGGTGGGAAATTCCCCGCACGAACTATCTGATCAAGTTTTCTTTTTTCCTATCACGGGCAGCTGGCAAAGCCGTGTTTGATCGTCGCGTACATGCTCCATTACAGCTTCATTCATGCGCCAATCAATTGACAGTGAAGCAAAGAAGGAAGACTTTTGATCACCGTGTGGGTAGTCTCTTTTAGGGTTTCAGTTTCATGTGCACTAAAAAGGAAGGAAGACTGGTGGGACTATTGTAATGCCAAGCATACGAGCAAAAGACTCTACCCACCCCATACTAACGTATGAAAGAATCTCATCGCGGTTCCATTCCTGCTCTTCCTATTCCATACTATAAGCAGAAACCTTTGATTCATCGATATTGGTGCTAGAGGCTCTACCACCACATACCAGCCCTTTATGGAGCTATCGGACCAAGAGAAAAAATTCCCCGATATAATAAAGAAAGTAAGAAGGGTTCCAAACCATCGAAACAGAAAGCACTAAAGACTATTACGACGTGGCAGGAATGATCACCGTCAAGCACAAGATTCAAAGCTGGAATCTTCCTACTCTTGTTAGTTGGGACAGAGCATCCTATCTTGTTGATTCTTCTTTCCCACCGCCTCGAGCTCTCGCTTCCACGGTGGATACGCAAGAAATTCACTATGAAAATTTACATGACACAATCCCTGAAGAGTATGATGTGCCCGGCCTTGCTTCTCTTGATCCCCACCTACCTCCCGTAGAGGCGGGTCAATACCAATCTCTAGTATAAAGCTAAAAGCAATCTCTGGTATAAATATTTCAATTTCAAAGCATCTGCTAGAGGTTGTAACAATCCAAATGATCCCACTACATCAGGACCCTTTCGACGTTGCACAAAAGCCATTACTTTACGTTCATCTAGCACTAAAAAGTCTACTCCTAGTAGAAGTGGTAGAATTATTCCAAGTATTTTAGCTGGAACAACTATGTACATTTTGTTTTCTATTCACTTATGATCTGGCCTGGTCGACCCAATTATGATATTGAACAATGGGACCTTTTCTCGAAAAAAAATTATTCTTGCAACTACGAAAGCCACAACACAAGCACCCATTTTCCATTTATTCTATCTAAGAAACAAATTCAGCATAGACCACGACCCCCCCAATTTTTTATTTCTTTATCTATATTTTGTCAAGTTAAAGAGTCCCCGCTCTCCATGTTCTTGAGAAAGTTTTTCAGCTTGCTGACTAGGGTTGGCAGCTAAATTCAGTCTTCGAGATCCCGTAACATAAGAAAGTCGTGGAGAACATAATCCCCTTTAGAGATAGGGGAGATTTACTTGTCGTAGTAATTGCGAATGATCAAGTAGGGGCACAACTAAAGAGGTAGCGAGACTGACTGCAATTTCAGGAATAGGTTGACTTTCTTTCATTTTTGTTATGGAAAGTGAAAGTTGTTTCGTTTAGTACGAGATCGCTTCACACCTCGCGGTGCTTACACCTCTCGCCTATCAGAGTTCTGTTCAAAAACCTCATCCAAGAACATTTATAGAGAAAATTTTCCCGCGGCGCATCAGTTCTTCCATACCAACTTAGCTACCCGGCACTGCTACTGGCATAACAACCGGTACACCATTGGTTAGCCCAACCCAGTCCTCTCGTGGTAGGGTTGGCTCTTCGCAGTTCTCCTTTTAACACCAATAGTCGATAGGAACTGAACTATCTTATGACATTCTAAACCTAACTCACGTACCACGTGAATCAGCGAACAATTGAACCCTTGGGACCTTCTTTAACCCCAGGATGTGATGAGTCGACATCGAGGTACCAAACGACTCCGTCGATAAGATCTCTTGGGTGTCATCAGCCTGTTATCCCCGACGTACCTTTGATCCGTTAAGCGAGAGCCCTTCCACACGGGACTCCCGGATCACTATGGTTGACTTTTGTCTCTGTTCTACCAGTCGGTCTCACAGTCAGGCAGGCTAATACCATTATGCTCACGAGCAGAATCTTAGCTTGAGCCTACCTTCGCATACCTTCGTTACTCTTTAAGAGTCATCGGCCCTAGATAAATTACCCACCTCGCAGTGTCCCGCCTCCCCCGAATGATCGGTGCATCGGTTAGGCATCCTTAGATGAAAGAGTGGTCTTTCAGGATTGGTCGTTGTATGTTACCACCTCCCACCTATCCTACACATTCGATTAAGGTTGTCACTGTGAAGCTATAGTTAAGGTGCGCGGGGTCTTACCGTCTAGCTATTCGTACTCTGCATCTTCACGGAGAATTCAATTTCACCGGGTCCATTTTGGAGACAGCGGGGCAGTCGTTACACCATTCGTGCAGGTCGCTACTTATTCGACAAGGAATTTTGCTACCTTAGGACAATTAGAGTTACTGCCGCCGTTTACCGGGGCTTCCATTAAAAGCTTATGACACTTCTCCTTCCGACCTTCCAGTACCGGAAAGGTGTCAGACTCTATACATAGTGTTACCATTTAGCAGAGTCCTTTGTTTTTAATAAACACTCACTACCCCCTAGTATGTGCCGCTTTCCTAATCAAAACATAAGAGAGCACCTTTCTCCCAAAGTTACGGGGTCATTTTGTTGAGTTCCTTCGACATGGTTCTCTCAAGCGCCCTAGTATACCTACTTTTTCACCTGTGTCATTTTGGGGTACAGTTAAATCACCGGGAGGATCGCCCTCCGAATTCGAAGTTTTTTCTTGGAAGTTTCAACCTTGTTGACTATGACAATAGTCGTGACTATAAACAGACTCGTGACTATGACAGGGGGGTACACTCTACTCTCTCGTNCGGGGCTTCCATTCAAAGCTTATAACACTTCTCCTTCCGACCT